CTGAGGGTTGTCCGAGCTCCTCATGGCCTTCCTGGCATAAGAGGACTGCTAATTTATATGGCTTTTGGGAGCTCCTTGTGTTGGAGGAATTATGTGTTGTTTGAGGACCGATGGCTTTCAGGTGGTGTGATGATGCAGTAGCAACAAGAGAAGCTTACACACCTTTGGGATGCCTCAAAATGCCCAGGTCCACTTTTGAAAGTGAGGTTAGGTATTGTTTCATCATTGTGTGTGGTTTTTTTTTCTTGTGATTTCTTAAGTTTGGAGACTTGGTTTCATAAAAGTTCATAGCACATGGCATTTGGTTCCCTCTCCAAAAGCAGAAGCACATACTTGGATTGTGTTTCCGTCTCCGCAGCTTCCGGCTTTGCAGATCCATCCAGTTTGTCCTTATTGCTGCTGCCTTGAGTTCATTCTTCCATTTTCTACAATCTAGTCTTTTGCCTTCCGAGCATGTGGAGGCACAAAGCTGAAGGGCATGAACCCCAGGATGTCAGGAAGGCCTGGAGACCGTCGGGGGCCAAACAAGGTTGAACTCCATCTCTGTGTGTTAGATGAGGCAGCTGCAGTCTTTAGAAGGAGGAGTGGGGAAGACGGGGCCACCAGGGTCTTTATCAGTCGTGGGCAGGAGAGCAGTGGGCAGTTTGAGGGGCTTCCTCATGAGAGCCTTTGGGACTAGCAGCTCCAGGGAGGGAGGTTTGTCACGCCTGAAAGTGCCAAACAGTGCAAGTGCAGTAGTGTGGGATTTGCTCTCCCTCCTTTGCTCCTTTTTTTTACCTTGCTGTTCAGAAACCGGATCAGACGCAGGTGGGTTGTCATTTTGCTTTGATTGAGACAGCACTTGAAGTGTTTTGTGTGATTTGCTTATAATCACTGTTTGTCTTTCTTAATGCTGTTCTGTTCTTTTGTTTGGGCTGTTTGAGATTTGAGGGCATTTACACAGTTATTTGGTTTTCCTAATATATTGGAGGATTTGGGATTTCTGAAAGTCATGCTTTTCAGTGTTTACAGAAGAACAATAAGCTAATTGTTTTTTAGAGTTGTAAATTATTTTACTAGTATTCTTTTGCTAATTTGGGTGAAATATAAAGCCACTTTTAATCCTTTTGAAGAGGATGTTGCTTCTTCTTCACAATGACCTGAATTAATCACACCATATTAGGTGTGTTTTGCCCATTTTGTAGATCCCTTTAAAAACTAGAGTATTGTTGCTGTGATGGCTTATTGATGATTACTGTAAGTGAGAGAGGGAGTTTCTTTTTCTCTTTTAGCTGCTCTTTAAATCCATGCATTGTCAACAGATACCACAGTTGTCTTCAGGAATTCTTGATGCTTTGTGTTTGTTTTGCATATGAAAAAGCTTAACAAGCCCCCCTGCTAAAGGGAAATCAAACCTCCTTCCTTTTTTATTGAAGTCCCCTGTGTTCTCACACAATGTGGGTGAGATCAATAGGTGAAGTTAAACAGTTATGAATTAAACAGTGTCTGTAGATGGCAGTCAGAGAAGCCTTTTTAATGCAGAAGTGGTTTGTTCCCTTTTATTTTCTGAGTTCTTTTAACTTACAAAAAGGCCTACAGTGGTCGGGACTAACCTGTGCAAAACCACCGTTTCTGCATTCATGACCCTTTAACTGCTCCACACCCACGTGGTTTTTTTACTCTGTTGCCTGCTTTTCGGGTTTTTCTGTGTTGCTAACATTTTTACCAATTCCTAATAATGGTTCCTAACCGGGATGAGTTAGAACCTTCTTTGTGAGAGAAAAGTAGAATAGCTTTGCCTTTGACACAGGGGGGGGAACAGTGCTTGAAATGTGGTATGTTGAAGCTTGTGATTCTTTATTTGTTAAAACGTGTATCCTGTGAGCAACAGAAGTAACGTGGTATTGGGCTCTGAAAGGTTATTTTGGTTCTGCATCCAGCGTTTCAAGATACTTGTGCTGCAGTCGTCATAGTGACAGTGGTGTGATGCGAACGTGGAACAAGTTTTCAGTAAAATGTATTGCCAAGAGAATAAAGATCTTATACCGTAAGCTGCAAGCATGCTGTTTACAATGCTCGAGTAAATTCAGACAGCTTACCAAGTGAAAATCCAGTCAGTCGTGGAATTCTTTGGAACAGGAAGCGCGTGGACATCTGTAACGTTCCTGTCCAGACAGGCAGTTCCCGATTAAGAAGCAGCAACCTATGTGCATAGTCGTCGTCTTACTACTTTTTCTCCTTACTTTGATTTCCATGATAGTGGATCAGTTTTACTCCTGAGTTTCTCCTGTGCCATATACAGTATTCTTACAATAATGTGGTGACACAGTAAAGCCATAGGAATTTACTAGCTTTGTTTCTGTGTAGTAATCCTTTAGCATCCCTGAAAAGGGACTGATTGATGTATTCATCATACTGCTTCACTGATTACAAGATCCAGAAAGTAGAGGTAGCACCCTTATGGATGCTAGCAGTTGCAAGATTGTTTGTAGTTTGCCAAACAAGTTTTGCTGTTGTGCTGCTCCCCCTAATCCTCCAAGTCCAACACTTGAACTTTGCCTAGCACAATATTTGGAAACAACTTCAATCACGAGAATCTCTTTGTTTTCTTTGCTTGCAAAAATTGCTACCAAAGCTTCTAATGTGGGAAAGTTTGGACAGAAGCCCTCTCCTCTCTTTTCCTGGACCAGCACTAGAGTTCTTGCGAGCTGTCCCTTTGGGTGAGACAGGAGTAGCAGATGAGTGTAGCTGCAGGTGTTCTGGGAATGGTTTCTGAAGTACACGTGCGGGGTGTAGTGTATGGGAGCTGTAGACCTCCTGCAGGAGATGTTGCATCTTGTGCATACTCATCGTGGTGTGGAGTACAGCTGGTTTTTACTGGTGTGTTTGCCCTGGCAGTGTTTTTCAGGCTAGCTATTGAAATAGTTTGGTTTTTAGTGTGGATGTAATAAATGATCGAACACTAGTCTATCTCAATGCACGGAAATGGTCTGCACTGTTTTGTGTTAACAGTCACAGCCTCCAGTCGTGTAACCTCTCCCCTTCCCCCAGATCACATTGTGCCACATCCTTTCCACAATCATTTTCCCACATGAGAGATGCAATATGATTGCCTGTATAAATCAGACAGTTTTCTAGGAATCTGTTGGAGCTGCTGACACTTGCATGTACAGAGCGCTTGTCTGCTAGACTTGAGGTCCCTAAAGAGAGTTTTCCAAAATACATCCCAGATTATATCCTGCCTGCTTTGGGCTTTGAAAAACTGAGTCTTTGAGAGCTTTTCAGACTTCTGTCTGAGCGTGCCCTACAGCCAGTGGGTGGGGGCTGGGAAATGACCTTGATCCTAGGCAGATGCCACCCTTCCCTAGTGGAGATCAGGGAGGAAGGTTGCATCTCGCCTACCCGCATAGCTTCTGAGTCAGACTAGTGTTTTCAAAGAGATCTATTTCTAGCAGCTGTAAGACTGACGGGTGGACAGTCTTTATTGTAGTGTAGTCGCTTGCTCAGTAAGGTTAGAGGTGCAGTGGTGCCCCGAGAAAAAAATAAAATTTATTTCTGCTTTAGATCATTTTCATTCTCAACAGATGCACACCAGAAGGGAGCGAGAGGGGAAGTAGCCAAAGTACTGGCAGTGTTAAACATGTGCATTCCTCCAGGCAAGAAGCAGCAGCAACAGATACATAGAATTTCTTTGGGGTTGTTTGTTTTTTTGGGTTTTTTTTTCCCCTCACCCAGCGGTTAGACTCTAGATCATAAATTGCTTGTTCAATCCAGACTCTGTTCATAATACTGAGGAAAATGAAATATCTTTCTGTAAAGAATTTCTTACCTCAGACAGATACGGTTTTGCTATGCATGACATTTTTTCTTGATACTTCTTTGGTTGTTGACTAACACCACTGCTTTCCCCATGAAACAGGAGGTTATCTTCATTTTTCTGTTTTTTTTTAGTTTTTAAATCATCCATGGCTTTAACTTAAATTTCTTTAAAAATAAATGTCCTGCTGTCTTCCAGTCTGGAAGAATTTTCTTTGACATCCATGTCAGCAGTTGTTGAACACTATTTTGAAGGAAATCTTTGCCCCAGATCTGCTCGCTTGGGAACAAAATGCAGACTTTCTCTCAGAGTAATTTTTCCACAGTAGCAATGGAAGATTATGGGGATGTACTAATACTACTAACTGGAGACGGGGAAAGAGGTAGTCCTCATGAAGCTCAATTAGCAAAACACATACTTTTCATGTTGTAAATCTAATGTGTGTTGGTGATGCAAAAAGAAAACAGCAGGGAGCTGACTGGGGCTGGGGAGGCATTTAAACTTACTACATTTCCTGCTTTCGTAGCTACAGTCTTTATTTTACATAAATAAAAATATTTCTAATTAAATATTTTTGGCAGTGTCCAATGATTGGATCAGCTCAATGAATTTTAAGCTAAAACAAGTGAAGTCCTTTAGAGCTGACAGTCCATGAGTATTTTCATATCTTGTGTACCTGTGGAATTAGTTAGCCCTGTGTGCCTCTGACTCGAGTAATAAAGCTGTTGCTTAAAATTTATTCCTGTTTAATTGCAGTATCTCTCTTGAGTGTTTATAAGAACACCACAGAAGTCCACACACAAAATGGAGATCTTCCCCTTCATGTCGTAGACTTAGGAAAAGAGGAGTAAATTTAGAATGTTTTAAAAATTGTTTTAAATTTAGAATGTTTTAAAAATTTAAAAAGTCTGTTCACTTTCATCTCAGTAAGTGGGAGACAGCTTAGCAAATCTAAGCCGTTTTTTCCATGATGAAGAAAGATGTAAGAATTATTGAAGTCTAAGGTGAAGGAAAGAATGAATTGGTGGAGAAGGATGTTATTTTTCTGTTTCCCACTTCTGTCAGTTTTTATTAGTCCCATAAATATTTTTACTCTTTAGTGTCACACTAAACACACAGGAATAAGGCCCTACCTTCATCTCTTCCAAAGATACAAACAACCAGCTTCAGAGCCGTGTTCCTTTTCTTCCTTCCAGATAAAAGGTAGTGCCATGGTGCAAATTCTTAGTGATTCACCGGGAAAGAGAATGGGACCTTTGTCACGGTATCAAGAGCCGGGGCAGGAGGGGTTGACCAAGTTACTCTGTAGTCTGAGCCAGAAGTGGGTATTGAAAAACAGTCAATTCAAACAGGCTTTGCTCATATCACAGGAAAAACAGCACGGATTTATTGCTGACCTAATTTCTGCTCTTGGTTGCCTGAAACTTTTTGTGATCTCTACTTTTGTAGGTTCTGGTTTTGAGGTGGTTCTTCTTTCTGAGTGATTTAAACATCAACCTGGAAGAAGAAGATCAGAAGGCTGTTGAGATTGCTTTAGGAATTAAAAGTACTGGTGAAAGGGGAAAATAAAGGCTTACATGGTCACCAGAATCCCCTCTCTTGTTTGAGAAATTAGCCTGTCAGTGCTAGTAGTGAGTGTCACATTCAGGCAATAGTGTAGTATGCCTATATGGAAGTAAATTATACTTGATTTAAAAAAATATCTCTGCAATGTCTTTATGAGGTTGCATATCTCTAGTAGCATCCCATGCATGAAGCTGGATTTACGTTGTGTTGTAACTTTAGGAGCAGCTTTCACTCTGCTTGCTCTGTAGCTGTGTGCACACAGAGAACACAAGGGGCATGTGGATGCTGTCTCCTTCAGTGGCTGTGACCATGCCTGCAGTCTCACTTGGCTGAGAAAGAGGAAAGGGAGAGCACCTGTATCGGGTACATCTCTGTGTGAGAGATGTTGGGCTTCCATTGCTGACAGTCCTGTTCTCCGTGATTACCCTAATTAAATCTGAAGGGAAGGTGTGAAGTAGTTCAGCACTGCAAATGGACATCTGCTGTTCGGTGTTCTGTGACAAATTCCCTTCCCAGTTGCAGTTGCTTAAAAATGTTACGAGCACATGGAGTTACTTGGGCTTGGCTCCTTCCCCATTAGGCACTATTTTGTACAGTGGTTTCGGCTAGAGTAGTAGTTCCTAGCCTTTTCATAGGTGTCCTCATTGCCATCACTCATTCCCGTCTTTTCCTCTGTGTTCTTTCTGCTTCTGCGTTCTCACGCTTTCTGTTTCTACCTATGTTCCTCATCACTAGTTCTAGGAACACGGGATAAGAGCACTAATAAGCTTGACCAGGCTTATTAACATGTAGTTCTGGTGTGACTCATTGTGGAGAACTATTAGACTGGCTATTAGGTCTGAATTTTGATGTTAGGTTGCCCCAGAGAATCTGGGCAAGAGGCCATTTCAGTATGGAGGGTGTAAACACATGGTTCGTTCATGGATGGCAGCTTCCCTCATGGCAGTGATATTTTTGCGTTTGCTTTGTGTCAGTGAATGACAGACTCATCCTGAGTAACGCTAAGCTGCCCTGAGTTCTGTGTCAGCTCTTCTATCCCAGGGTTTTAAGGGTTTTCCTTTTCTTTCTTTTTTCCCCCTTCTTTAGGCCATTCCATGTGGAGCCTACAAACATAGTCAGCGTGAACGATGACATGCAAAGAGTCACTGATGAAGCTTCAGCAATGAATAAGCGGATTCATTACTACAGCAGGCTCACGTCTCCTACGGATAGGGCACTGGTAAGGCAAAGACAGGACCGGATTAACTGACTAGTCTCTGGCACGTTGGGTCTTCCACAGCCTAGGAAGCACAAGTAAAGGTAGCCAGAGACTCGCTCTGCAGCTTGCTTTGAAGTAAACGTCTAGTAGCCGAGTGCCTTAACGAGGTCTTGCGTTATCACAAGGTGTGATTGACTTCACGTGCGATGCCTTCATCATCCGAAGGAAACATCTTGAAAAACAGCTTGAATTTTGTAACCGTGCTCCAGGCTGCCCAGATGGGTGCACTCACTTCTCCCGTCTATGAGAGGGTTTAAGTAACGGTCGGCTGCAGTGGTTGAACTCGCGTGATCTTTGCATAGCATGTGACAGGTATTTTGCAGAAGAAGAAAATGTTCTGCTATGTAGCTAAAAATGCTATCAACTCTTTATTTCCATGGGGAGCAAATCAATGTAGTCCAACCTTTTTTTTTTTTTTTAATGGAAAGATTTTGTGATGTACAGTGATTGGCGGGACAATAGTTCCTTTGGTGTTTCTAACATGTCTTGTTTTTTATCCATTTGTTAGATTGCTCCTGATCACGTACTTCCAGCTCCTGATGACATCTATGTGTACAGTCCATTAGGAACTGCTTTTAAAGTTGACAGTTGCACAGATGGCCATGGTAAAAACTCCAGTATAGTGACAATGTATGTCAAGCCCCTTGCCATATATTAGCCAGAAAATGCGTTATTATTGAATGTTCTATATTGTATGCATAACTATTGTAGCTAAAAGGCTAGTATGAAGTAAGAATGCTTCTTGAATTATTCACTGGCTTTTTTATTTTCTTCACAGATTTATGATATGGAATACAATGATGGGTACATCTATATTAAGTATCCCATGGGGAATAAAACAGGTAAAACTATGAAAAATGTATGTGTATGAAAATGGTTTTGGCAACATGGCTTGCTCTTAATTTTTCTGTACTGTTATTGATAAAGAAAGTAAATTACTTCTCTCTTTTAACAGGCAGGCTTTACTTCTGGAATCATTCTCATCTTATTGATGGGCATTTTGACTCTTTACTGTTGCTACAGAGTTGTGAAATCACGGAAAATGATACGTAAGAAATACAAAGCTTCATAATGCAAGTATTTCCCTCAAGCGTGAAATGCAGAGATCTAATAGACCCTTAGTTGGTCATTACTCTCCTGTGTGTTAGACCTGACCTGTAAATAAAAGCTGTTCCTTTGAATGTCTCCCTACTTCTGTAGTCTGGATCTAAGCTCTGGAAGCAAAATGTCTGTCTTCCTTAGGTTAGATTATTCTTCAGTTCCTTAAGACTGAAGTATTACAACCAAACCCAAACTCTTGGCAAGGAAAGTTTCAGATGTTCACTTACTAAGTGTTTGGAGACTTTGGGAGTCGGAGGCGTCCCTTCTTCTCCGTGAGCACTGTCCAGTTCTCTACATGTATTTCTGATCATGTTCCACAGTGGAACAGTGTGGGCTGTAGCTGCATCCACTTGTGTTGTGTGCCTGTGGTACCCTAAAGTTTATGCATAGTCTGTGTTGGGAGCAGTTTATGGACAGCTGCCTCACTGACAGTGGTTCTGCTTAGAATGTACTTTTATTGTTCAAAGCTCATCTTGCAGCTTTGTGCTTTTATGCATAAACTAACCCCTCGTGTGCTCAAATAAAGGCAGTTAAGACCTCCAGAAAGTTAACAGCAATCTTCTTAGCCCTTAGAAACACTGTGAATTTGTGTCAGAATATTCTGAAACAAGAACACATCCTGTCATGAACAGTTCTACTGACTAATACAACGTTTTGTTTAGATATGTTTCTGGTTTTTGTATCTTCTTCAGCTTTAATAGATACCTCAAACTGGGAATTTCCAGATGTTTGCAAGTATTACTTTGGATCCTTTGGTCAATGGTCAAGCCTCTTATTTTCTATGGTATCACTTGTTGGAGCCATGGTTGTTTATTGGGTGCTTATGTCCAACTTCCTGTTCAACACTGGAAAGTTCATATACAGTAAGTACACATTTTTGGTTTTACAGCTGTCTCATGGAAAGATTAACACTTTGTTTTATACTGAGAAAAGATTGTCCGTTTTACTTAATCTTGATTTTTCTGTTACTTTGCATGAAAAATCAGGTGAGATTAAGTAACTCTGTTTGGAGTTATGGGCACAGTTGTGCATTTTTTCAAAGCCAGTTTCTCAGTCTCTCAAAGTGCGGGTTAGATGAAAGGCAAAGTACCAATTTGCGTGTTGGTAATGAGGCTTCTTGGTGTAGTTTAAACAGCCCAAACCTGGTTGCTTGTCTCCGCTTTGTATTTTCACTCCCCTCCCCCGCTGTTTGCGTGGGAGTAACTATTTGAACAGCCATCTAACAGGCTAGGCTGTTGAAATGGTCCAGGCTAATGAAAAAAAATCTAGTTTCATTTTAGATTTCAGCAAACACACTTAGAGTGCTGCCATATAGAAAGTTTCTGGAAGCGTTCCAGAAGGAACGATGGACTGTAGCACAGTGAATAAATGATTTTTAGACTGACTTTGCTACAAAAGGAAACATATTGGGTATTTACACCCTTGTACGTGCACAGACACACAAGCTGTTGTGGATACAATCAATTAGGGATGTAATGTTGTGGGAATAAGTGATGAAATTGAGAGCTTTGAAAATCTGACTCATAGTGTTGAATAACACGACTGAGATCTAAGAGTTTCTGTTTTGAAGGTAATTAACTAATCTCTGAGGCAAATAACAGCAGACACTTACAACTCTTAAACAATGTTTAATTAGAGTTCCACCATCCCTGAAGGACATACTTTACTTTATTGGTTAATGGCTGGTGTATTTTACAGCTGACCTAATTCATATGTTGTTAAGGCCATTTCGACTCTGTTTTGTTTTGTTTTTTCCTAAGGTTAGTACTTTAATACTAAATTATCCTGAACCCAAAAACTCCGATTCTAATAAGCAGACTTCAGAGTGATCAAAACAGTTCCTGTTCTAGGGAAAAAGTCCTGCTTTTCCCTGAAATTGGCATGTTATTTTATCACTTACCTGTATTTGTTAGAGGATCTGACATAAGTTGTTTGCTCTGTGATAACTAATGATTGGATTCTTTGCAAACTTTCATTGTGGCTAGTTAATTACTCAGTTATAAAATGGGTAGTAGGATGTAAGTTTGACACAATGGCATCTTCTATGTGTTTCTAAGTTATTCTAAGCAGGCTGCTATATTTAATTCTACTACATTGGGATGACTTTTAAAAAATCTGCACGCACAGTTTAGGTGGGAACAAACTGATTTCTGAAAGGATAAAGGTCTAGACATTAGTAGCATGCAGAGAATGCAGGAACTGTAAGCCAAGTATGATACCCCTGTCTTTTTTCTATTTTTTTTAACACGTGCCTTTGTTCTGTTTTTGTTTTGTGAAACACAAATAAATCTACAAATGTAATTGCTGGTCCTAAACCACTTTTTAAGTACAGAGGAAACATAACTTGGCTATCAGTCTATGACTAATTTTAAAGTGCTCTAATTCTGTAAGAGCTGTCCGTTCTTTTGATGGCTTCACACTAGGTACTTTTTTTTTAAGTAGCAACACAGAACAGTGGTGAAGTGTGGAGGTGATGAATGATTTTAATTAGATCTTCTGATTGTTGTATACACTGAACTGGTATTAGTAAGTATGAGAAACTAAGCTGTGATTCAGGGTGTCATAAATGAAAACAAAGAAACAAAAAATAGTTTTCTTCCCACAAGACTTTATGCTTTCTTTATGAGAAATGAGTTGCTGTTAAGTGCATTAAAAAAATCTGAGAGCTACTGCCCCAGCTGATTTTCTGTGTGCATAACGCTCCCACATGCAGCAGAAGCAACTTTTGACCAGAGACACGCTAATTAAATTTCCAAGCTGATGGGCATTTTCTGCCTGTATATATACATAAATATAAGGAAACTGCTGCCCAATACTGTCCTGCTGGTCAAGTTGCAGAAACTTGGAGATGCCTGGTGTGGCAGAGCAGTAGCACAGGGCGTACTGGAAACAAAATACCGCTGGAGATGGCTGTCAGCAGTGAGCCTTGAATCTTTTCTAGAGATTCCCTTCTTTAAAATACAACATGGAGCCCAGAGCCTCTGCTGAAAAAAAGATTAGAAAAATTAATAGGAAAGCTTTTTTTCCTATAATACCATCTGGACTAAGTGTGTGTTGCTTGTGCTTTTTTTCTGTCCCAAAAGAGGCTGGTTTTAAGAGGCATCTCCTCACTAACCTGCTGTACATCACTGCAGTCAGAGGAGCTGAGACCAGCGGACGAGTGCTGGGAAAACAGGAGTGAGCGGCTGGGAGGGGAGGCTTGGGACCTTCATAACTGGACAGGCTGTTGGGAGGGAAGTAGTGCAGTGGGGTCTACTTTAAAACTCTCCTAAAAGGAAGTTGTAACATATCCACTTGGGGTTGAGGGGGAGTGCAAGCTGCGGTATGGTGCCTTTGATGTAATTCTCCAAAATATTTCCTTACTTAATTTTTATCAGCAGATAAGAGCCTAGTAGCAGATTTGGGACATTGATAGTAGGATTTTCTTCTTTTCAGACTTTGTTCATGACATTAATGTAACAGATATTGTTCCTGGCACGAATGGAAGTAACAAAGGTAAGAAGCAGTTGTTATTACTGTGTTTCCTGGTTTGGGAGGTGGGGGGGTGGGGGGTGGTGGTGTTTAAAGGCCAATAGTCACGTTTCCATGCCTAACCACACTCCAGTTACAAAGTGTGTATCATAAGTTACTACTACCTGTTTTTTAAAAAAATGTCATTTTCTATCTGGGATTTGTACTTCCACAAATAACTGCACACTGGAAAGCTTAATAATGAAAAAAAAAAAAAAAAGAAACAAAGAAAGTGAGGGCTGGAATAAGGATTAAAAGGAAAATCACAAGTTTGTGTGTACCCCGATAGATCCTCCTTAAAACCATGCATGTTAGACCTCGTAACAGTAGTTGCACAATGAGAAGTTGCCGTAAGAAATTCTAACTTTTGCACCCTAAAATTGGGGCATATCAGGTCTGTTTACTGTTTAAAATTTTGGGTGGGGCATCTTTGCTCCTCACCACTTCTGCAGCAATGTTCTTATTTAGAAAAATGCTGTAAGAAGAGCTTTAATGGTGCTGAGGGCAAAAGGAAACAAGTGTCAGGCTACATGAGCGTCCACTTGCGTTTTGTGGAGAGTCTGACATTTGCACAACTAAGGCAAGAAACTGCACTCATGTACAAAGATAGGTCTGTTGGGAGCTCTTAAGTAGGGAGAATAATGTAGAATGAAGGCAGAAGCTGGGCATTATCAGCCTCTGATCTTTCTGCCTATATATAGTAACTGAACATGTAGCACTATGTTATGAAGCAGAAAATTTTCTGTCCTGGGTGCTTATGGGAATGGGGAAACTTTTCAAGTACCAGCTGGACAGCTGTGTGTCACACAAGCTGCAGCTGTGTTTCTGGAGAGTAGCTGCTTGGAGTCAGGCAAAGGAGTTGAGAAATAATTTTGAAAACCAGTCGATGTGCATTTCAGCTCGAGTTGAATCCTGATTCTCCTGCAGTCCTTACCAGCAAGGCACCAATAGCTGCTATTTCTCTTGCGCTCTCTCATATTTCTGCTGTTCTGTGCCATTCTTACACAGCAGGGGGTATAACTTGGAGACAAAGTAGACAACAATATTCCACAACATCCTCCAGCAACTGGAAGATGTAAGGCAGCTGCTTCAGAAAATTAAGGGCTGCCAGCTACTCAAGTGACTCTTGGCAGGGCATTCAGGGCAGCTAAGGAGATTGGTAAGAACAAAAGCATTTTTCAAGGTCTGTGAAACAATTCTCTTATAAGCAGTGCAGAGAAAACAAATGAGAAAACTGGAAATAAAGTAAAATAATGGTCTCTCAAGAAATTTAACAGCACACTTTTTACACCTTTGCCTCTGTAACAGGACAGGAATGCAGCCAGTGTAGGAGGGAGGCTATCAAGTATTGTGGGATGACAAAAATTACAATGAGACATTATGAGGACAATAAGACAGCTTCATATTTCAACACACAACATTGCAGGCATGTGTTAGAAAGACATGCTGATATTAACAAAAATCAAATATACATGTTTTTTTCAAGGTATCTTTTTGGTGAGTTCTTTTGCCTGAGTTCTAGACCTGCCAGTTGTTACAGTAGCTTTCTCGTCTTCGTTTGTGTATTTCCAGAGCAGCGTATGGTAATAACAGGCTTTTCCGTACAGAGGTGCACTTGCATCTTGGTTCATACGATCTTAGTGAAGTGTGCAGGGAGTGGTTACAATGCTAAATATGCAGGCAGATGCAGAGGTGTGTTGCTATGACTTGATTCCAGCAGGTGCATGTAGGCACTGAACACACCTGGTTATGAGTATGTGACCTCAAAGGATGATCCTATGCCACAGCTCAGGCTTCAGACAAATTACCATCTTTCTTGTGCTTGGCTGAGAGAAGTGTAGCAGCTATCAGCTTAGAGTGCAATCTAAGTGATTCTAGTGCCTAGCAGTGGAATCTTAATGCTGAACTCTTGATAAAAAAACAAATAGAAGTTAAGAATTGAGTTGTCAGACATTGCTTTTGAGTGGTCCTATTCCCGTAGGTAGAACACTCTCCAGAAATTACAGGATCATAGTTGTGAAGAGTCGGTGCAAGTAAAACCCTTTTCGTCTGGGGATGTTTTTCTTTTCCTTTCTTCCAGTCATTTGTCCAAGTGCTGCTAGCAGTCACCCACCACAGAACAGGAGTGTGGTGTTCTCTTCTGGCAACAGTACAGGTTTTGAACTCTTCGAGGAATGGTGGGACAAATCACAGACAGTACCGTTTTACCTGATTGCTGTTCTTCTGCCCCTGCTAAATCTGAAGTCTCCATCCTTCTTTGCAAAGTTTAATGTCTTAGGTAGGTAACAAATACTATTAAAGCGTTGGTTCATTGTGGGTAAAATGTATACAAAACAGAGAAAGCTACTCCAGTGAGTAGAATAATAGAATAAAATAATAAAATAATTTAGATCAACCTTTAAGATCATTGAGTTCATCCATAAACCTCACACTGCCAAGTCCACCACTAGACCATGTCCCTAAGTGCCACATCTACACCACATCTTTTTAAACACCTCCAGGGATGGTGACTGGACCACTGCCCTGGGCAGCCTGTTCCAGTGCTTGATAACCCTTTCAGTGAAGAAGTTTTTCCTAATATCCAATCTAATGCTCCCCTGGCACAAGTGGAGGCCATTTCCTTTTGTCCTATCACTTGTTACTTGGGAGAAGAGACCGAGACCCACCTTGCTACAATCTCCTTTCAGGTAGTTGTAGAGAACAATAAAGTCTCCCCTCAGCCTCCTTTTCTCCAGGCTAAACACTCCCAGTTCCCTCAGCTGCTTCCCACGGGACTTGTGCTCGAGACCCTTCACCAGCTTCGTTGCTCTTCTTTGGACACTCTCCAGCACCTCTGTGTCTTTCTTGTAGTGAGGGGCCCAGAACACGGTACTCACAATGTGGCCTCACCAGTGCCAGGTACAGGGGTACGATCACTTCCCTACTCCTGCTGGCCCCACTGTTTCTGATACAGGCCAGGATGCTGTTGGCACTCTTGGCCACCTGGGCACACTGCTGGCTCATCTTCAGGTGGTTGTTTACTAATAGTCCTAGATACTTTTCTGCTGGACAACATTCCATTCGCTCTTCCAGTAGTTTTCTGGTGGATGATATTGTGCCTCAGAGTGGTTTGCTGGTTGGTTTGTTCATCACCCTCAGGCTTTCTACGCTGCTTTGCTTAAGGCTTACAGTTAATAGGGAGTTAATTTTTTTTTCCTTTGCTCCCTTGATAATCCTGTAAAACAAGTTCCACTGTATTTACAAGAGATTTTCCTGAGCAGTGGTACACATACTGCTATGCAGCATTTGATGCATACTACCTTGGCACGAACAGTCAGGGATGCCCTTCCTCAATTGGTAAACATTTCAACACAGATGCTTCCAAAGTTTAATTGCTTCTGAGCTGAAGTTGTTTGCTACCGATCACTGGATTGATTAATCACAATGTCAGTCAGTGTAACCTGCTGCTGTGCTTTGCCCCAGCTCCCAAAACCCTGGCTTATTGTGTGTCTACAAGGACAAAAATTGTGGCTTCTCCTTGCTTCCATGTCTTGAGATAGAAGACCAAGGAAGATGGGATTGGTAAAGTGGATAAAGCACATGGATGATGAGTGGGGTTGGTCGCAATTTATGGAGTAGGAGAGGTCTGAGGGCATAGCATTGAAAAGCCCACAATGAAGGGAAAGGGAAAAGGAGATGGGCGTCACAGAATGGCTTGTGAAAGATGGAGATGTATTGTAAAGGAGGTAGAGGACAGGGAAATGAGGGTCTAGTTTGTCCTCTGTTCCAGTGTGACACTTAATTAGAACTTGGATCTGCTGTTACTGGAACCACTAAATGAAAATACAACACAGGAACTTAGATAAGTGATGGCTTCTGTGTAAAAAGTAAGGTTTTTACATAGACTAGATAGAATATTAGGGATAAGAAAATATTTTAGCAAGGGAGATCTAGCCGTAACTGTATCTGTTTTTAAAATGAGCACATCATCGTGGGCAACTACTTTTTAATTTGAGAACCTGAATATTAAAGTATGAAATTTCTCATTACTTCAGTATATTGTTAAATAACTGAGAAGCTGTTCAGAGGTGCCTTAATTTTTGTAAACCTTGAAGTTTGTAGGACAAGAACAAAAGGAAGGCAATTTTTGAGATGCTGAAATGAATAATAGAGCACTTTTACTTATCTTTACACCTACAGAAACCTAAATCATTAGGGAAACTACAGACTATTTTAGTTGTTAAGCTGATCCACCAGTACAGAAATTTTTCTCTTCCTAATTCATTGACTGTGATCTGTGTAATCAAATGTTAATTTATTCAATTTATTTTTTAGTCTTGTGCTAGAATGAAGTGTCTTATCTGAATCTGTGTTCTAAACTGTAAAAATACTGTTTCTTTACCTTTACTTACTTACAGCCTATTTGCTGATGACTAGCAGTATCCTTGGCTGGGAGGTTGCATCTTAGTAGCCTTAATTACTCTTGCACAGTTTCCTTCAATTTTTAAGTAGTTCTTATTCTGCCCTTACCTCTTTTGAATGGCAGGAGGTGAGATCATATGCTTTCCATCCCACGTGCAGACACAGCAAGGCATTTATACCCATCTGTGATCTTATCTGTAGTCATCTGGCTGTGCAGAGTATTGCTGGATGCCTCTGAACCAATGAGGTGGAATGCAAATCGAGTGTTACGATCAAGACAAGGTTTAAATCAGTAGCGATCAGCTTCTAGCTCCCAGTATAAAGTTCACAATTGCAGTAAACATTCATATCTTTTTGGGCCATTGGATTCAAAAAGTCAGTGATTGCGTGGATGTTGTAACAGCTGCAGTGCTCTGGCTGCCTTTGTCTCGTGTTAGATCAAAATCCTGACTGCTGAAGCTGGGACTGCTTAGAGACCTCCTTACCTGCCTAAGCACCAGGGATTACAGGTTACTTCTTCCCCTGTCACTAGTGCAGCGTCTGGAGAACATTAAACATGCTGAAAGCTTGCACTGCGTGCAAGTGCGTTTTTCTTTCTCTCTGACCTATGAAAGAAATAAAGAAAAAGAGAATTTAGACCTAGCCTGTATTTTTAAGAATTAATACGAACCCTAAGTGTTTGGGCTACTGGTAATTAGTTGGATGGAGCAAGAATAAAATGCAGCACAAATACTTTCTACTTCCTTATGTTGTTTGTTTGGCTCTTGTCTTTTCTAGGTACTGTTTCCGTTGTCTACTTAGTTTTTCTGGTTACTGTAAAGGCTGCTCATCTGGGAATCCACTTAGAATACAACTGGTTTACAGAGAATGATTTCTTTGTACCAGGTAAGGTAGTTAAAATGCAATAATGAAGAATATATATGATGGGTTTAAGGTTTTTTTTAAAGCAATTAATTAATTACTTTCTCATTTAACACCTCTGTGACATAAGTAAGTGAGGAGATGCTGTCTGATGTTGCATGTAGAGGCTCAGGAAGGATCCTTTGTGACAAAGAATCCCTTTCCCAGTGGTGTTCCTTAATCAGGAGACAGTATCAGCACTGTGGAGAAGAGGAGGAGTGGCCACCAGAGGCATCCCCAACGTACATCATGTGGCAAGGAGTTTGCCACAGGCCTCTTTCACCTGTATTATAACAAGTTCTGGCCGCACCATTTTCAGATCATGCGTATTTCAGTAGCAATTACAAAAGACAAACTGTAGACAGACTGACAGGTAAAGGTGCTGTAAGTTCTTAACACACTATCTTGCTTAAATGAAGTAGCTCATTCACCGTAATTTAAGAGTATGATTTTCCTGGACTTCCCAATCTATGTCAGGTTTTAGTCCATAATCTTTGCTCTTCTCTTAAACACCCATTAGCTCTTCAGTATATTCTTTTTTTTTTTTTTCTTGAATGTTGTTTTGGTGGCTGTTTGTTCTTTACAAATTATTGTTACAAATTCCTGTGTGAGATGTCACAGTTATAAACAGCGGTATTGCACAAACAGATAGTCTGCAGAGATCAGTTTCTTGTCTTAGAAGGCCTGGAATGGGAGATCTGGGGTTCAGTCTCAGCTATTTTTTCCCCATCCTGCACAACAGGCAAAATTGTACAACCAGTTAACTCCAAGGACCTGTGTCCTGTACTGTTGAATTGTATCACTCCTTCTGTTCTTAGAAACAAGAATATTTTGTCCTTCTTTAGAAGTTACGTATTTACTTAAAGCAAAATTCAGAGATATGCGACTTCTTAGGGTTTCTTTTGAGGGTTTGTGCATTTTTAGTTTGCCAGTTACAATAAGCACTGTACTAACAGTTTTAGACATGGGTTGCAAACTGTTGTTAGGTCCAGTAATATAGAATTGGAGAAGAAAACAAGGGTAACTTAAAATATTAGAATGGGTTTTGAATTACTATAGCAAGACAGAGATCAAAAAAGGAAACCCCGGAGTTGCTCCGTGTTTCTAATAGAATCTGATCTAATTTGTGGAATCGTGGTAACACGCTGTGGCAAACAGTTGAACTGAAATTGTTGTGGCACAATAATAAGCAGAATAAACAGCTTAGCTGGTTATTCCATGTATGTTTAGCAAAGAGATCTGCTCAAAACCCAGTATTCCCCTTCTCCACCCACCAGCCCCTAGCTATCATCAAATCTGTTTGTTCATTTTTCTGTAACTGCTGAAGGTCATTCCTTCCTCATTTCAACTGGGTATTCAGAACCCCATTTCAAGATGTGAATGACAAGAAACAAGTGAAAGGCTATTTCAAATAGTTTCTCTTCAGCTTGGCCAAGTCACCGAGAAAATAAAAATTATTGTCCTTTCTGTCTGAGTCTTCGAGGCCAGGGAAGTTTTGCTGAGTATGACTGTGTGCAAGACTAAAGCAGATGCTTTGAGGATGAACTAGATTATCATCATAATTCCCTAAGAATCCTCCTGACTACTGCAGCATAATATAAACTTGGAGATGGATGTAGGTGGTTCTTAAACAGTGCTATATATGCAACTGTGGTTGACTAACAAACCCATGTAAACTGGAAACCAGCCTAAGTCAAAGAAACCAGATTTTAAGCATCTTGAAGTTCAAGTCTAAGATCTCTTAAGCAGTCCTGGTGTAAAATGAGTTATAGCATGACACATGTACCATGGGTCACTAAGAAGTGAAGCACTCAGTAGTTTGATTATTTTGGCAATGTGACTAGTACTGCTAGGAGATGGACAAAGCACGTAGCTAATGCATATAAATCCAGCTACTACTGATTGTTGCAGTGATGGGGGAAGCACAGTGCTGAAAGAGCTTCTGAACCTGTCAGATTTTTTATTTTTATTGCTGAGATTGAAGTAGTGGATGGAAAACAAGCCCAAAAGTTGCTTGCACTCTCGATTCTATCAGTAGCGCATCATGCTAGTTGGGTATTGAAGATACAGTGAATCCAGCCGTAGGGAAGGCATACTCCCTCAGCCTGGATGACCCCTTCATTAATTGCCTGGGGTGTGTTTACCTTGCTGACCTGATGGCACTTAAAAGAAATCTGGTTTAAATATGTTTGCATGGAGTTCTCTGTGGTTTGATCTGCAAGGGTTTGTGAGCCTCTGATGAGTGTTTTGCTATATTGCTGGATACTTTCCAGAAGCTAGCTCAGGGATCTCTAATTGCTGTTAACACTCTAATACCAACAAAGACGGTTCTTTAATGATGTTACACATTGGTGAATTCCTAGACCAGTTGCAGCACTTTCAGAAACAGAATCTTGTCAACATAGTCCTTCAGGTATTAAAGGAAGCAGAGCAGTGCTATTCCCATGGAGGTAAAAATAAAAAATACATTTTTCGTAGATGCTTGAAGGTGTATGGTAAGACACAAAGTTGTTCTGCCTTTCTTTATGCCCTGTTTTGTAAGCAAAACCTCATAAACATCTACAGAGGTAGTTTTTTCTCTGGTAGCACAAGTAACTTCCTAACAACAAAAGACATTTGCAAAACAAATGATTCCTTCCCCCCATCTCCCTGTTCAAAGACCAATATATGTACAGCCTCACAGCAATCACTTTGTGCTTCAAAAATGCTTTCCAGTAAAACTGTTGGGAAGCAGAAAAGCTTGTATGTGTAAATCCTAGATTAACCTAATAAGCTTTGATGGTTGGGGTCTCTCTTCAAACTGCTGTAGAGCGTGTTATATAGTAACCACTGTTTTCATGCATTTTGTACTTCCTGATTAAATATCTTGTTGGCTGCAGTCAAAGATAGGTTGCCCCGTTTCAACATGGAGGTTCATGTTTCTTCCAGTAGACTCCACACTGTTGTATGTCCCCTCCATTTTGGCATTGTTTTTTTCAAAGAAGCAAGTTGTTAACACTTTTTTTCTTTCCTTAGAGTTTAGAATTCTGTTCCCTCAGCTCACAGGGATTCTGACACTTGCCTTCTTCATCCACAATTGTGTCATCACACTTCTTCAAAATAACAGGAATCAAGAAAACAATGTAAGTAATTTCACAAGACTGTGCTGATTTGTGTCTAGATTGTCAGGTGACACTAACTTTTTAGGGGATCCAGGGACTGTAATAGTTTCAGAAAATGTAACTTGCTCTTGTGATCTGATAAGAAACCAGTTACACATACTTTTGACTGGCGACCAACAAGTAACAGATGCATTACAAATTTATTCAAATGAAAGCCTTGAGGAGTATCCTGGACTTATCTGTGATCAGGCTGGTATTAAATGGCCAAATTACACACAAGAGGCAGAGGGCTTGACAGTGTTGTAAGACTCTAGAAAAACTGACCAATTTTAGAATAAAAAATGCTGGAGAATATTGGGCATGGGACTGGTTTTAGTAGACTCCTGAACAATAATGTTGGTGTTTAGATAATATCTTTTCTCAGAGTTGCTTCAGTAGTTTTGTGTCACAATCCAAGTCAAGGTTCATAGGGAAACCTGACCTCATTTAGGAAATCCTCAAAGCTGAAGCTTGGATTGGCAACCTTTGTGATAGCCTTTGGACTGGTCCTTTGCCGTTGAAAAAGTTATGAACTGCTCATCCGGATGGAACTGCATTCTTTCTTAGTATCTTTCCATTATAAAATACAAAATGGAGTAAACATGATACAGAGTTAGAGTCCCAGAGTACACTTTTACTGTTACTATTTTGATTATTTAATTTTTGCCTCCCTACTTACCAGGATTCTTGTCCAGCTTCTTTAAAGTCTTAGCTGTAAAGGTAACTACAATAACATACAAAGATTTTTAAGCATTAGCTGTATGAAATACTGGTGCAGAATCCCGTAACGATTGAGGTTGGAAGGGACCTCTGGGTGTCATCTTGTCCAACTCCCTGCTCGAGCCAGGCCACCTAGAGCCGGTTGCCTACACAACACATCAGATAAAATATATGATTTGATTATTCAAAGATGAAGTGCAGATAATGTGCCAGTGCAGTGAGACGACTTTTGCTTCAGTAATCTGCTTAGTTACTTTTTTGTCCCTGTGAACCCAGGCTAGCTTGCGAGTGACCACATCTGCAAAGGACTCCTAAATTCTCCTCCAGGAGAGCTTCTTGGGGTTTATGGGCATTTCTGGAAATAGTTTAACAACTAAAGAAGGGGTTAGTGGAGCTCTGGAGAAAGAAAACTAAGGAAGTTTCTTCTCAGTTTTCTTAAGAAAATTTTACAATGTGGAAAAGGGCAAGATTTCTTTCTCCTGAGCTGTGGCTTTGGAATTCTCAAGGCATCGTCACTCCAGCAATCAGCTCTGTATGTAGAGGAGGCCTAGTGCCTCTGTGCCACCTTCAAGACTTTTTCTGTGGCTTTTTCCCTTCCATTTACATTGGAGTAAGCTATCAGCTGCAAAGAGCAGTACCTGGAATCTTCTGCAGCTTGCTTTTCCTATGTTAACGAGGAAGAAACTGGTGCCTGCATTTGAATCAGCTTTTCGGAAGGCCCTCCCAGAGCTTAAGTTGAATTTCCGAGTCAGCTCTAGCATGTATCCCAAGCTCTCAACAAGACTTTCACGTTCCAGAGGACTGTTCAAATTGCACAGAAAGAGCACCTTGAAGTATAGCAGGAAAGATTTGTAATGGGAAGCCAAATCTGCATAGTTCTTTGTGAGTTTTATTTGACTAGAGATTTCCTTTCCTGTTTTCCTCCTCCTCTGTACAGGAGCCTTTCACCTAGGACTCAAAGTGCTTTGCAAATGTTAATGAAGCACTGATGCTCTTGAAGAGCTGTTTTGTGATTATTTAATGAAGCTGCTGGACTAAGTGGAAGGTTTACATATGTAGAGGGATCTCAACTTCCGTCATAAGTCACAGTTTTGAAGGTTTTTTCCCTGTGTATTTACATGAACAAGATGCTCTCTTGTATCAGCATCTCATGGGAAGTTGAATGGAGACTCCACTGTTTTATGGATCGATCTGTTACTTCTGATGTCACTTCCATCAGAGTTCTGTGAAAAGGCACAGAATCTGGCAAGCTGGAAAAGTACTGGTTTTGTTTTGAACAAAACTTGCTGAAACTCGTGGTCATAACAACAACTCTTCGGGGAGGTGGAAAAAAGTAAGAGAAACAATAACATTCCTTTTATGGAGTCAGAAATCCAAAACAGAGCGGCTTCCATTCTGGTCACAGGCAAGTATCACTGCCCAAAGCTAAAACACAGATGGGGGGAGGATTCCTCTGGCTGCTATTCCAGTCCAGTAGTGTGGGTGTGAGAAGAGCAGTTCACTGGAGTAAGCCAAATGTCAGCAGCACAGCCTGGAGAAGCCCTGTGAGCCGGGTTCTTAGTGTGCAGTTCAAAGTTGAGCTCCTTGTTCCCATCTCCCACTGCTGCCCCTTTCTATTTATCAGGGTAAGTTGTGCATTGCACAATCGACTGGTTTGGAAGCTGCTTGCATAGAAAACTAAACCAGACACAAAAAGGTGATTTATTGGGTTTTTTGTTTGGGGTTTTTTTGGGTTTTTTTCTGCTTCATGTCTGTGATACGGTTCCCTGAGCAACTGTACAGATGCTGCACGAGCCCAGAGCGTGATCTACAGGCCTGAATATGCTGGTACTCTGGCCTCACCAGGGCAGAGTAGAGGGGGAGGAGAACCTCCCTGGACCTGCTGCCCACACTCTTTTTAATGCACCCTAGAATACTGTTGGCCTTCCTGGCCACAGGGCACACTGCTGTCCACTAGCACACATGGCCAGCCTGCTGTCCACCAGCACAC